TACTTTTTTTTTCTTTATCTTTTAGCCATATAACAGAGGTAATAACAAAAGATTTCGGACGCAGGATCTAAAATTAGACCATCCTATTACTATTTTCTTTCCATCGTTGATGTAGCTGTTAAGTCTCAGTTTGCTTTCTGGATATTTCAAAATGTGTGAGGACTAGACCCATCTTAAAGTTTCCAACATAGCTATGAACAATGCACCATTTTTACAGCTTAAATATTACAGCTATGTTTATCTTCCTCTGGAAAAAAAGCACAAAGAAAATGAAATGAACTTTTGTACTACTGAAAAAAATCACTTTCTCACCACACATACATACACCAAAAAAAGTCATGCCAGGTTAACCTGAAATACTACTATACCTGGCACTGCTGATTTTTAAATTCTTGGAGGAAAAATTGATATCATCTACATCTATAGAATTACTAATCAATTCAGCCACAAATGGAGAGTTATTGATGAGAAAGATCTTCCTGAGAAGTTCTTCTAGTAGATGATAAGTAGATGACCATGTGAACTCACTCCATGGTAGTGCAGATAAAGCTAACTACTTTTCACAATTTCCTAGATTAGAAAATGAAATTAATATATTTACAAGAAAAGAAGCCTTTCATATTTTTGAATATAGTAACATCTAGTGGAACACAGTGGTGGTCCAGTTTCCAGTTTGATAATCACTGTGCAAGCTGTAATGTGTGACAGCTATCACAACAAGAAAATAGCTAAGACAAACATAAATGGGAAGAAGGAATACAAAGAGTCACAGAGAGAAAAAATGATGTGCCAGAAACAGACACCACGGTCCATGGATGCCTGTTCCCTCTGCCATATACCATTCTTCTTTCCATACACATTACATCTTAACACTTGCTGTAACATTTAATATATTGAGCACAGTGTAATAAGAAATACCTGTGTGGTCTACAGTTCAAGTGACAACAGAGACTTTTTTTTAGCCCTGTAGGATAAAAACTATCTGCGTGGTTGTTTTAATGCATCAGTATCAAAAAAGCCAGAACGAAAAAAACAACAAACTGAATGATCTCAGAAGAAGTCCTATACGGTTATAATGGTTTTACATTAAATTATCTATAACAATTTCCTGTCATTAAATGGTAACAATTTAGAGGTACTGGGAGAGAATACTCAATCACAGGGAGCCAGATTTCTATTAAGCAAAAGGAAAGAAAGGACTTATTAATTTGCATTTACCATTGTTAGTGACTGTGGCAAGTGGCAATTGTGAACGACAGCACCCCACACAGGAGGGAGCTCTTTACCCCCTGCCTATGTTTGAACAGAGCTCCAGAAAGAGGATGGCAAGTGATGATTTTTCCTCCCTAGAGCTAGGCACCCTGTGTGTGCCTCACAGCTGAATGAGACTGTGGATCAGGAGCCAGTTTCTGATCCTTCCATGGGGAAGTGGAGACACTGAAGAAATCATAAGAAACCAACCCAGAATGAGGATGTTGAATGTGTTTACACACGTCCATTTAAAAATAAATTTACTCTGTCACTCACCATTTGCCTTCTTTTTGGTCTGTGTTGTCTGCTGTTATTTTGAGCTCTTTGAGTAAGGGGCTGTTTTCCACATTTCAGTGATGTAGTACAAAAAAAGGTCCCATTGTCTTTTTTTGTTGCATCCATTAGACACTAGTGCCAGGTTCTCCCTTCTCATTTTTTTCCACTCACCCAGCAGCCTTTCTTCTTGCAGTGGCAGCAGGACTGCAACCAGAATACACGTTGTGCTTCTCGTGGTGTTGCCTGACAGTCATTTGCTGTAGCATCCTGCACTTTGGTGTTCTGCGTACAGCATCAGGCAATGCTGAATGAGAAATGCCATGACCAGTTTATAAGAAATAAGAGCTGGGCATCTGCAGTGCTGTGCTTTAGGGGAGCAACCTAGATGTAGTCCTTGCTGTACTGGGTGTAATGTGGATAGATGCCCTGTCTGGCAGAACGATATAGTCAAGGAATTCAGAGGAGGAAGAATAGGAAATAGCATTGCCCTTCTTGTACAGGTGAGAAATGAGGCACAGTTTCTTCCCCACCAGGATCAAAATGAACGTCTGTGGCATGTAAAAGAAACAAGTCTCAGAATAACACACCTGAGACACTTCTTTCTTGTGGGGCGTAGCTGGGATGCATGAAATGGGCTTTTTAGGGAATTTGACTTCTTTCTTTCCCAGCAGTAAGGCAAGATGTTACATATTTTTGGATGATATGTTAAGTTCGGCTGATTTACCTTTAGTAATTTTTTTTTTTGAAAATAATAACCAAAGATTAAGCATTACATTGTGTATTTTTGCAATGAATTTGACACAATACTTTTGAAGTTCATGAATCTGTTAAGTCTTGGACACTCTCTAGTGTATTGGACAACAGTAGCAATTTACATTATTTTGAAGTTGTGAGTAAGTTTTCAAGGGTAATAGATTTCACATGTAGAGATAAAAAGATAACATTCCTTCATTTATGCCTGCTTACTTCTTTTCGCTATCACACTACATTTAGCAAAATGGATACGGCAGAAAGGATGCTGGTGTATTTTTATGTTAATCAATGTATTTTAATTTCAAATAGCATTTTTGAAGCTCAGATAGCTTCCAAAAAAAGTGGTGCCAGAGCAAAACTAATGAATTTTAATTCTTTTCAGTATACCTCTGCTTTTATGAATCCTTTTTGTTATATTCTGATGCATGAGAATGCATCAGCAGGTGTTCAGTGCATGCAGCCCACAGATCCAATTCTTACAGAAATCCAGTTTAACTTTTTTAGCTACATAACAAAGCTCACCTCATAAGTGTGTTATTTTTAATGACCAATTGGGTAATAGCTAGAAAAATACCTACTTCAGGAAGGCGGACGAACATTTTAAAGACTTTTTTTAAACAACGCGTTGTAAGTGACAAGTAATCTTTCTGCACAAAGGATGTGTTTAACTGTTTTGTAGCTAAATCATGCTATTCTCAGTCAAATTTTAAGCATGTGCCACTCTTGTCTCGGAAGGGCTGCAGCTAATAACTTGCCCTTGCTGTTGTTACATTACTTAAAGCAGTATGATGTATCCCTTAGGTAGTTAAACTCTGAAACTTCACTGCATTAACCCTGCTCTTCTGCATCTTGGAGTGCCTCGGACAACTTTCAGCTCCTTGGAAGCGCAAACAGGCCATGATGCTGCAAAATAGAAATCTCCACAGATGCTACAGTATGCCCACAGCCACTGGAGCTGGTCCAGTGACTATATGCTAACGCTGATGATGAGGAGCACAAGAAACAGCCTTTTTTAATAGCGTGGTCCGTGCATTGCACTTCTGTAATCTGAGATTATTTTAATAATTCTTCTTAGCTCACAGCCCCAGCAGACACAGCTTCACTAGCAAAATGCTGGCCTGCTGTAATATACTTGTGCATGGTGTCAAGAATAGGGCACAATAAACAAGTTCTGTCCTTTGTGTAACACTTACCATAGCAGCAATATAAAATCAATGGCATTGTTGAAAGGGATTGTTCGTTACTCATCAGAGCAGATCACGAAATGATGCTTCTTTTTCTTTCCAGAACTGTAGCATACCTGGGTGCTGGTACAAAGCAGCAGCACTGGCCGTAATTTACTGCATTGCAGTAAAATCAACAATGCAGCATCTCGCAGAGCCAGGCAAATACTCATTTGATTTGCTAATTGAATATATAGAGAAAAAATTCTCCCCCCCAAAATATTTTTAATCACGTTACTATATATCTTGTTTGTAACCCTTCAAAACCTTCACTGTGTAATGAAACACTAGTACCTCTTGAAAAAAAGGGTTCTGAAGCCTGATTTGAAACCATGTAATTTACAAGTAACAAGGTGAACCATAGTGATTTTTCTCAAGATTCTTTCTTTTGGGGGGTAGGAAAAATAGAACAATTTGAGAAGTTAACAGTAACTTGTAAGTAAATTCCAGTTGAGCAGAAACCACATTTCAAAGTCAAAAATGTTAGGTGTAAAAAAGAAAAGCATCTAATTCCATCCAAAGGAACTTTCCATAGCTAGAAGGAAATAAAGAATTTTTCTGTAGTTGAGAGTAAACACAAAATTAGGAAATGGCTGCCCAGCTATGTAGGGCCATAGTGGTATTTTTTTAAAAATAGAAAAAATTACATAGTTTAAGCTATCACAGCTTAGGAAATGTAGTAGTCAACAGACTTTTTTTTTTTTTTTTTTTTTTTTTTTTTTTTTTCCCTGTGCAAACTCAACACATTATAAACATTTTTTTCTTGTCTGTTTATGATTTACCACCCTAAACCTACCTTCTGGTGAAAGTGTGTTTTTTCCACAGGTCTTCTTGAACTGACAATATGATTGTTATTTTTTTCAGTAACAGTTTGAATGTTGAATAAATATAATTTCTTTCTAATGAAATGATAATAAAATGAATTGCTGTAGTGTTGAAATAATCTGCTTTTGGCATGTTTACAGTTTGTTGTTCCCACCTGAAATGTGAAGGTAAGAAAGACAACCCATCATCTCTGTTTAGTTGCAGCCATCTTCACAACTGTTGTATATGTAAGAAGAATGAAGGTGAATGCGTGCTTGTTTTAACTTAACCATGCACTCAATACAAAAAGTCGTAGGCTTTGTGGAGTGAGCATTCATCTATACTCCAAGATTTCATAAGTTAGCCAAATAAAATATATGTTTCAGCATTTCCTTCAAAGCCCAAAAATGAGTTATCTGCATGAAGATTGTACAAATTCATTAAAATCGCAGTCTGTTACAGCCAATGGGAGATTTCCTTCTAGAATGAAAGTCCTTTTATACAGAATATCAGCATTATAAATTATAATGTGAAAGGTACATGAATTTAAAGGTTGGAAATAGACACAAAGAGAGATTGAAAAGTGTGAAATAGAAACCTTAGCCAAAGATATTTTGTTTCAGAGCAGAATACATGAAATAATTTTATCAGTTAACCACTACACTATATAGTAACTCTACATTATCGTTCTAGGTACCTTGGAATAACAAGACCTCTTACATACCCTGTAAGGCAGAACGGGAAGTGTATGGCCAAAATGATCCTGTGCGTATGGCTCTTATCTGCCTCTATCACTATACCCCCGCTCTTCGGTTGGGCCCAAAATGTAAATGATGAAAAGGTTTGTTTGATCAGTCAAGACTTCGGCTACACCATTTACTCCACAGCAGTTGCATTTTATATTCCAATGTCAGTGATGCTTTTCATGTACTATCAGATTTACAAAGCTGCCAAGAGGAGTGCTGCTAAACACAAGTTTGCTGGTTTTCCCCAGCTGGATGAAATGGAAGGGATTTCTATGAATGGAGTTGTAAAACTGCACAAGGAATCTGAAGAATGTACTAATTTTTCACGACTCCTAAAGCACGACAAGAAAAACATTTCCATCTTTAAAAGAGAACAGAAAGCTGCCACTACGCTTGGCATTATTGTTGGGGCTTTCACTGTCTGCTGGCTGCCCTTCTTCCTCCTCTCAACCGCCAGGCCCTTCATCTGTGGTACAGCATGCAGCTGTATCCCACTGTGGGTTGAGAGAACATTTCTATGGTTGGGTTATGCAAACTCTCTCATTAACCCTTTTATATATGCCTTCTTCAATCGGGACCTGAGGACAACTTATCGCAACCTCCTGCAATGCAGATATAGGAATATCAACCGGAAACTATCAGCTGCAGGAATGCATGAGGCTCTGAAGCTTGCAGAAAAGCCAGAATTTGTTCTGTAAGGTCACTCATCCTTTTACTATGATCGTTTATTGTTTTATCACAGTAGCTTTTTCCCCACAGGTTTGGAAAAAGAGTTATGGGAAGAACCATCTTGATTCTTGTACAGCCCACCAGTCCTAGCAAGCCTAGAGAAACAAGACCACCATCTAAATAATTTGGGTGTAAGAGGAATACCAGAAAGGGGGAGGGTAAAAGGTGGTGCAGGATGTTTGAGTTGCTAGTGAGGAAAGAGCAAAGTTGGCCTAACCCATTTGTTTGGCCCTTGGCCCCAAACAACTTTTAGTAAGTCTGAATGTTGGATGCATCTTGTATCCCAAAAACTTTTTGCTGTAATAAAGACCTGAGAATGGTGAAAATTTCAGTATAATTCATTGCTTTCCACTTTGTTATTATAAAAATAAACCATTTAAGAAGAAGCTGCATTGAAGAACGTATATTGTTTAGAAATACCCTTTATTATAAAAACAAAGGCCATTAAACGTTAAATTACTGGGTTGCCTGGAAATAAACTACTTTGTGAAATTCAATGTTGCCTTTACTCAGCGACTATGACACTGACAGAATATGTTACACTTCCAATGTTAATATAAGAGTTTGAGTAAAGTCATGTGGACCAACATTTACTGCTGCATACGGTCATGCAGCACAATTAGCTGCAGTGCTGCTATGCCAATTACACCAGGTAAAGATCTTGTCCTATATTTCTAACATAACAAATATGTCTGATTACAGTTTGTTTCAGGAGCTGTCTGGTCTTTGTCCGTCTTTTCTTTCTTTAATTCTCTTGGTTTTATCAGTTGAGCCCTTCTCTAATCTAGATGGAGACCCTGTCTGTGCTCAAGTAATTTCTGTTGATGTATGGCTAGTCCTTGTTCCACTTCAGCAGTTAATTTATTGTCTATTTGAAAGCTCTTCTAGCTTCCTGGGATTTCTCTCCTTTCTGAAGTCAGTAAGGCAAAAATAAATTTAAGGCTTTATGACATTCAGAGACATCTGGACTGTATCCTTACAAACTGATTTTGGTCATCACTTCTGCTGAAAATGGTTTAAAGCCTTGCTTTTCATAAGAATTAAGATAATTTAACGTTTCTAGTTCTAGTTGTTTGACCCACCGCTGCAGCTTATCCAAGTACGTGATTCTACTTCTTTGTAACGAAGCTCTTCCCTCAGTGGGGTGGGGTCAAATATTATTAAAAAAAATTTTGTATTTAAAATTCATTATTAATAAATACATCAATTATAATTTTAGTAATGTATTAATATAAAATGCACTGATTATGTAATATATTACTATAATAACCTAAAATAATAATAAATTTAAAACAACTCATAAGAACAAGATGCTTTTTCTGGACCAAGTTTGACCAGCACACCATGTTGCAGACGAAACACAGGGCACATCAGTGAAAGAGGACTGTTTTAGAGCTCAGTCTACTTTTTCAGATATTGGGGCATAGATGAGGAGACAACATGTTCATTATCAAATTGCCTCAGCAGCACATCACCCTTTAGGCTAACTTCTGTCCCCACTTTTTCAAATATGAACCCAAAATGACTTAAATGAATTCAGTGATGTTAATTTGGACTAAATAGTGAGAAGTTTCTGCCAGATCCCTTCTTCAAAGCATACAGAGATCATTGCAAACATGAGCTTCTAAGAGGCAGGTACACAAGACCTGGATCGATGACCTGAGCTGTCTGTACTGAAACAAGCTTAAGCTGTTTTAGACAGATTTATATGCAAGAATACATACAGTGGGAGTACATTTTTACCTCATTTTTAGAGAAGGATCAGTTTTTTAGCAGTGAGATATAGGCTATATCCCAACTTCAAAAAAGTTTTCTAAAGAAGTTTCAAATTGATTTGGAGCAGTCTGTTTTCTCTTAAGTATTCAAAAAATATTATGTGCAAAAAGACAAGAGATTTTGGCCCAGAGTATCCACAAGCTCTGTCGTATGGAGTAGAGCTCATCTTAATCCAAGCATATTTTCCATATTTGACATGAAATTAATGGTGTTTCTGACTTTGTTACCTATCAGAGTAGCATTTTCGTAGTTCCTAGCATAAGTGAGGAGTTTTCACTGACCTTCTGCAAATTTTTTTACCTGTGTGAGGATATGTAGGAGAATATACAAATAAATATATCAGTGAAGATTCCAAGTGGGATTATAAAACTCTGAAGCTGATTTCGGTATTCTGGGCAGGAGTTTCAGCCCAGTTTTATTCTGT